AAGTTTTTTTTTTTTTTTAAGTGGTTTATAGAATTGTTAGTAATTCTGACAAGAAACAGACTCTAGTGTGAACTTTCATGAATGAAGTTCTAAAGCCACATTGCAGCTGAGCTACCGAGGGAGTTACTTCCTCTTTAGGATCAGAAAGGTACCTGCAGAAATTGGGAAGCTGTCAGTTTTAGCTGCTTGTCTGAGAACCTTGCCACCTCTTTTGTGATCAGGAGCCTGCCACTCTTAGGAACTAGCCATTAGCAAGCAGCCATCTTCATCAGTAAGCTGTCGTCACTGCTGCTGGCTCTAGAGCCAAGCCACACCTGCCACAACCTGTATGACAGATGGATGCCTTATGCCCTTCTTGATATCCATGAAACCTACGACTGGATAGAAGGACTTCAGAAAACACTGCTGCACAAAGCGTGACAGTGTTTAATAGTTGCAGCAGCCTCAGTACAACCTCCCTTCTCTCCAAATTTCTAGCGAGTGCATCTCATTGGTGGAATTGAAATCATATCTGCAGCCCTAACTGCAAGAAAGACTTGGGAATGTAGTTTTTAGCTTTCTAGTGTCTGCAGTACAGGAGGTCATATACCAAGGAATGCTGAAATGGATGATGACCACTCATCGACCGTATCTACCACAGATACAGATGCTCATTCTCCTTAAGGCTAGCCGTTATCAAATGGTCTATATAGATAAACTGAGAAAGATTACAAATAATACTAACCATGTTGAGAAACGTTTAAGTATTTTCAGTATGTTTTATTGTTTATAATGACATATTTAAAAAATATCTAAAATTTGTGCTCTACCTATGTGATGAATATAGTGGTCTGTGGATGCCAAAAGTTTCTTTACATTTAAAGTGTTGATAGTGGACGAAAAGTCGGAAAGATGGAATAACAAAACTGTTAGAATGGGTTATCTAAACTGAGGAAAGGTTGGTGTTATCAAATACTGAAGCATGGTCAAATAAGGTGGGAACTGACAGCAGTCTTTGATTTGGTGGTACTTAATATTGTTAGCATTCTAGGGCCACCTGGGTGGCTCAGTCAGTTAAGCATCCAACTCTTGGTTTTGCCCCAGGTCATGAGCTTGGGGTAGTGGGATCCAGCCCCACCTCAGGCTCCACGCTCAGCGCAGAGTCTGCTTGAGATTCTCTCTCCCTTTGCCCCTCCCCCTGCGTGCGTGTACACATGCTTTCTCAAATAAATAAAATACTAAAAAAAATAGTATTAGTGTTCTTGAAGGTTCTAGTAAAGAACTAGAATCAGAGGCCGAATTGTGAGTAGGAAGGAAAGGAGCAGAGTTTATAGAATAAGTTTTCAAGGAGCAGTAGTTGTATTTCCTTCCTTTCTTCCTTTAATTAGAGCATAGGGGAGGCCCTATACAAATACCACACACGAGACAAGTACAGCCTTTCAAAGTTCCTCACTTTTGTCTCTGTATAGCTTGATGTAAAGTGTGTACTATTAAGATACTCTTTCTGCTTAGAGATATAATGGATGCAACATTTTTTATTAGTTCTCTAACCGTTCATTATTTCACTTTCAATTATTTTTGTATAGAGTGGCAGTTAATTCTGATTTATGTTTTTTATAAAGTGCCAGTTAATTACTATAGTTTAAAATGTTGGTAGCTGACTTAATCAGCATATTTGTATGATTAGTGAGCTGGGCATTGATTAGATGAATTCACCTTCAGTGTAGTTTATTTAAACATAGCTTAGTGGCAGATATTCAACGAGTACAGATTATGATAACTACTTTTATAGGAAATGTTGAGTGTGTTTTGTATATTACATAGACCTTACGTTTTTACTTATTCTAAGTCAGTATCTGATAATGGCAAGTTCATTGGATTCTGCACACAAAATAATCCCTGTTATATCCCCCTTAAAAAGGTGGGTGGTAGAATAGGTATACATTTATACAGTGTGGTTTTCTCACTCTGCACTTATGTGAATGAAATGGGAACCTGTTCAAGGGCAGTGATTTAGTGTTCCAAATTCCCTCATTAGATATAGAGCATGTTTATTATGATTTTATTCTTAATTTGTTTACATTCTAGGCCCTTTATGGTGACCTAGTTGGATTTTGGGTTTAAAAAAAAAAAAAAACATGGATTATACAGAGAGGAGACATCAGAGAAAAGACTTGAAGGAGAAGAAGGTTGAGAATAATGAAAACAGAATTGTTGAACAGTGTTGTGGGATGACAGCAAGGGAATTGGGTAGAGAGAACTCAGGAAGATGGATGAGATTTGGATAAGAGAAGGGACATCTAGTCTTTAGGAAGAGGAGAATGGATGGATACAAATTCAGATATAAGTTTTTCCTGTTTGGAAACTGATTTATTTGTAAAGGTCAACCCATATTAGTCAATTTTTGAGTCATTTGAAAGATTCCTGATTCTGACTTGAGTTGAACATAGTATGTTTATTCAGTTTAAGTGGTAACTTGATATTTTTTTTAATCTCCCAATGACAAACTTAATGAGTATCTTGTGCCTTTCCACTGACTTTCTCATTGCACTAAAAAAATGGTTTATTGAATTTTTCATAGGTGCTGCTTAAGTTTCTGATAGGCTTTGTTAAAATACATTGGTTTAAATGGCCTTTAGTTTTAAACTTGATAAGCAGACAGAGACTCAAGTTTATCTAGCCCGAATTGTCCTCAGGAAAGCTGTGCTTTAGTGATTTGTCTGAAGCCATTTAGCTACTTAGTAATAGAGGTAAAACAGGAACATTAGTTTCATGATTCTTAGGGCAGTGCTATTTCCCATATGCCAACTGCCTTGCTTTCCTAATTGAGTACAGCCGTGTCTGATTTCAGCACACTTCTGTGTGCTTTTGGCTCACGAGCATTTCACAAGAACTTCAAAACTAGACTTACTAGCTTCTTTAATATTCATTCAAGGAATATTTCTCAAGTGTCTACTGTATGACAGTCACGATTTTAGATTTTGGTGATTAACAAGTTCTCAGACCTCAAGAATGAGAGAGGCAGAAAATAAATACGTAAAAATTACTAGTTTCGGGTAGTTACAAATGCTATCAAGAAAACAGAGAAATAGATTATGGTAGCAGGATTATCTACTTGAGACAGCATAGTCAGGGAAGGTTTCTCTGAGGAAGCGGCATTTAAGCTGAGACCTGAATGATAAGCAGAGCCAGCCATGTGAAGTTGTAGGGTTAGAGCATTCCAGATAGAGGCCTTAAGCTTGAATGAACTTGGCATGGTTGATGAATGGAAAGAGGGTGAACACTGAGGAGAGTGGGAGGAAAAGAGGTCGGAGAGGAGAGGACAGTGGAGCAATGTAGACCATGAAAATGGGAATTTAGAAATGGGATTGTATTCTAAGTGAAAGGGAATGGTTTTGGAGCAGGGGAGTCACTGCCCTGAAGAGTATGTCTAGATGGGGGCGCCTGGGTGGCTCAGTCGGTGAAGCGACTGCCTTCGGCTCAGGTCATGATCCCAGGGTCCTGGGATCGAGCCCCACATCGGGCTCCCTGCTCAGCGGGGAGCCTGCTTCTCCCTCCCCCCCCCCCCGGCTGTGTTCCCTCTCTCGCCGTGTCTCTCTCTCTGTCAAATAAATAAATAAAATCTTAAAAAAAAAATACGTCTAGATAGTCACACTGGTGTAGAGCGGGTTGTAGGGGGATACCAGTGAAGGCAAGGAGAAGTGGTTGGATTTGGGATATATTTTAGAGGTTTGCTGGAATTACTGATGGACTGGATGTGGGGGAGGTTTTGGGCGGAAGATGGTGGTAGACTGGGGGAAGAGCATTGTTTTAGGGGAGGAAATCAGATGGTCTTTCTGGGACTTGATAAATTTGAGATGCCTACTGGATATCCAAGGAGGCAGTTGGATATTCACATCTAGCGTTGAGGAGGAGAGATCAGGCCTGGAAATGCAGACCTAAGGGACATCAGCATTAACACCGTACTGAAGGAGTTTGCACAGGGAAAGAACAGAAGACGGTCCAGAACTGAGCCCTGAAGCACTGCAGTATTTAGAGGTGAGGGGGGGAAGAAGTAGGCAGAGGACCAGGGATATGGGAGGAAAGCCAGGAATATTGTATTGTGGGAGCCAAGAAAAGGGCATTTTAAAGGAGGGAGGTTAGTGTTCACTTTACTAAATAGTGCCACCAGATCAGGTCTGGTGAGGACAGAGAAATGGCCATTGGATTTGGCAATATGGAAAGCATTGGCATCCCTCACTAGAACAATTGCCATGTCCTCATAGAGTTAGAAGCTGACTGGGGAGAGGGTTGAAGAATGGATGGAAAGTGAGAAATTAAAGACAATGTGACTAGAAATGATTGCTTTTGAGAAGATTTGCTATGAAAGGTAGTCTAGAAATGGAATTCCACAAGGGAGGAGGTGGAGTCAAGGGAGAGTTTTTTTCTTTCTGTGCTTTTTTTTTTAATTGGGAAATATTAAAAGCTTGTTTATGGGCGCCTGCGTGGCTCAGTTGGTTAAGCGACTGCCTTCGGCTCAGGTCATGATCCTGGAGTCCCGGGATCGAGTCCCACATCGAGCTCCCTGCTCAGCAGGGAGTCTGCTTCTCCCTCTGACCCTCTTCCTTCTCGTGCTCTCTATCTCTCATTCTCTCTCTCTCAAATAAAAAAAAAAAAAAAAAGCTTGTTTATGTGCTGATGGGAGTGATCCCCTAGTGAGGAAAATTGATGAGGTAGGAAAGGGATTAATTGTGGAGTTAAGTCCTTGAGGTGGCTGGTGATTTGGCTGGAGAGCACAAGTGGGGGGATTGCCCTTTCTAGAAGCAGGGAAACCATGGTGTAATATGACCTGACACTCCCCTTTACACACAGCTCTTCTCTTCAGTCTCACTGGACCAAGTTGATCACCTTCTTTCTGTAATCACTAGGGGTTTTTTTGTGCTATGTCTTACATGTTCTTTTGGATTGAATACATCCTGTATAAGGTTTAGCATGAAGCAGCTGGTGGTATTTAACACCAATTTCAATTTTTGTGCCAACAGGTGAAGCGAAAAATTTACTGCCATATCTTGGACCCAACAAAATGAGAGATTGTTTCTGCACCATAAATTTGGACCAGGAAGAGGTTTATCGTACCCAAGTTGTTGAAAAGTCTTTAAGGTTTGTAAAAAAAATTGGTAAATTATCTTTCATATGATATATATTGATTAATAAATTTTATACATTTTCCAGACTGTAATCATCAAAAAGACTTTCTTTATCTGAAACTTTTCTTTTACATTCTGGATTTGTTTTTAGAATAACAGAATCTTGGTGTTTGAAGGAGCCTTAATGTTTATTGAGCTGGAGTAATCAACTGTCTTATGCTTGGTTCCTTCTGACAATTATCATTGACAAGCAGTCATCTGACATTTGCTTAATAATGTTCAGTCCAGTGACCAAAGAGTTCATTGCCTCCTAAGCAGCCTATTTGGTCTTAGAACAATTCTGACTCTTAGAAAGTTCTTACATTTAGTCAATTAATGTCTATCAAAAGGAGAACCTACTATATGCCAAGAGCTTGCTGGGTGCTATTTATTCAAACATCCAAGAGAGCAAGATAAATACAGTGCTTGCTTTCATGTGGCTTTTCATTGCCTCAAAATATATCTTCCTTTTAATTGTTGCTAATTCTATCCCTTGGATTTCTGGAGAACACATATCCATATTTGACATGACATCTTTCAAGTTTTTGAAAACAACTGTCATATACCTCAGTTTGTTCTCTAGGCTAAATTTTGCCTATTCATTTGAACTTTCCTCAGAGTACATCATTGTTTTCTCTTGAGAATAAATTACTTCTTAAAGTTATACAAGTCACTGAACTAAGTAGGGCATCGTAAGGGAATGAATTCTTGGGTAAATTTCTCATCTTTTGAAAGTGTAATAGCACTCAGAGTATCCTAATACATTCTAATTCATAAAATTGGAGTGTGCCACCTGTGCCCTGTAATAGTGTTTGTGGACATAATTCTAGCACAGAGCTGTGCTGGCAGGATGCGGTCGTGGTCAGAGATAAGAGTCAAAACAAGGGCGTGGGGAGTTGTCGGAATGAACGTGTGGTGGGTGAAGTACTGAGTGTCATGACTCCTGTAAATTGCATTTTGGGAATTTATTTTTTGATGCTCTTTTTTTCATAATCTTTTTTCATTACACTTCCCCACTTCCCCCCCGCCTTTTTTTTTTTCCTCTGGAGCTTTTACCTTTGTGTCTTTATTGTCAGTGTTTATAATTTTGAATGTTTATACTGTTCTTCATAGGAAACGAATTGTATAAAGCTGAAAATACTTTAGTAGCCCCCCAAAATTTGAAATAATACACTTCACATCTTTAGTCATAAATCACCTGTCCCTGTTTTTTTAGAATTCTGTTGTTATTTATATGTTATACATGATGAAACTGAGTCACCAAAAGGCTGAATAATTTGTGCATATAATATAGGAAGTTAGGAGCAAAACGGAGATTGGAACCTGAAACTGTCTCAGTTTCAGTTTGTTACTTAATGTACACTGATTCCATATCGCACAAAAATCAGTGATAGACAAAGCTAGTAATTGTCCATAAATTGAATACTTGTGGTAGTTTCTAGTATATGGCTTTGTAAATTAGTGACAAAAATTAGCTTAATTTTTCTTTTTTAAACCCCTGCCTTTCTAGATATTTGTGTTGGGAAAAGATGATGAAACCGATTATTTTTATCCATCTTAAATTATTTTCTAGATACTTAGCAACTTGGAAGATATTTTAAGACTAACTTAGGTTATTTCAATAGTTAGACTAGGTGCTTCTTGGATTCTAGGTGACCCCTAGCACTTTTCCTTGCAGAATAAGGTGAAAGAATGTGTAATATAAACCCTTGCTGACCTTGCTTTCATGTCAGTGTTTTCTTCCCTTATTGTGATAAGCTATCAAGTCAAGAGTCAGTAGATACCATTTAGATCTTTATGGGTTCTGGATATTATAGTTTTTATAGGTAGTCTGGATATAGAGTTTTCATAACGGGTAAGGAAGAGTGACATATGGAATCTATAGCTCGTAAGTTTTTGCCTCAAATTCTTTTAAAAAGTGAGTGGTATATAAACAAACTAAGGAACAGCCAGCCATACTGCTATGCCCAGTGCTTTTCTTCCCCATGCCAGGAATTTCCTTGGGAGTATATGCATGATCATATGTCAGTGATAGCAATAGAATGTTGTTTTTAAAACTATGTAAGTCTCATCGTGCTCCTTATCAACCCATTGAAGTTTTCTTCAGATGGATTGATTAATTAATAATTAAATTAAATAAAGATGTAGGTGCCCAGATGTGGGGATTGTTGACATTGTGGTGATATAGTGATACAGATGACTTAGTGAATAATTCTGTGGTGTTCTTACTTGGTTTTAGAATGTATTTTAAAAATAATATTTGAGGGATGCCTGGGTGGCAGTCGGTTAGGCGTCAGACTCTTGGTTTTGGCTCAGGTTGTGGTCTCAGGGTGGTGAGATTAAGCCCAGTGGCCGGCTCTGCGCTCAGCATGGAGTCTGCTTAAGACCATCTCTCCCTCTCCCTCTGCCCCCCCTTAAATAAATAAATAAGTCTTAAAAAATTAAGTAAAAATAATATTTGAATATGTACATGTGATATATAAAGGAAATTCTTCATTTTATAATTGTTTATAAAATGATGCAAAGGAGAAAATACTTAAACATATCATGTCTTCGCCTAATAGTTTTTGGGTTTTTTTTTAAGATTTTATTTATTTATTTGATAGAGACACAGCGAGAGAGGGAACACAAGCAAGGGGAGTGGGAGAGGGAGAAGCAGGCTTCCCGCGGAGCAGGGAGCCCAATGCGGGGCTGGATTCCAGGACCCTGGGATCATGACCTGAGCTGAAGGCAGACGCTTAACGACTAAGCCACCCAGGCACCTCCTAATAGTTGTTCTTGTGTCAATTTTTATGTTGAGATTAATAGAGGACTCTAGTTATTTTGATAGACCAACTTTTTAAAAGATATTTATTTATTTATTTATTTATTTATTTATTTATTTATTTATTTATTTATTTGAGAGAGTACACATGGGGAGAGAGCAGAGGGAGAGAATCTGAAACAGACTCCATGCTGATCGTGGAGCCGGGAGCCCTGTGGTGGGCTCCATCCCATGGTCCTAGATCATGACCTGAGCCAAAACCAAGAGTTGTGGATGCTTAACCCACTGAGCCACCCAGGTGCCCCATTGATAGACCAACTTTTAAAAGTTTATTTTGATTACATTTGAAGTAAAAAATACATTGAGAAAAGTTGACCAGGCATTATAAACAACTAAAAAGCTGAGTCAACTGTTTTCTGGACAAGATTGAAATAACTTCTGTAAGAGTATTTTTCTTTGCATTTCAGCTTCTTTTTAAGTTGTGACATCCTAAAGAGCTTGCGTTTTATGGTGACATTTTCAAAGTATCCTTTAGTTCTTTAAACATTCTCAGGAAAGAAGTGCTCTTAACAAAAGATATTTACTAGCATTTTAGAGATTCATGTCTTCATAGAATCTAAACATCAAAGTAACATTCTTAAACATCTAAAAATGAGCTCTTTCATAGGAAAAAATCTTAGCAGCTTGGGGATAGGCAAAGATTTCTTAGGATGCAGAAATCACTAGTCATAAAAGAGGAAAATTGATAAACTGGATTTCATCAAAATCAGAGCCTTTTGCTCTTCAACAGACAGTGTCAAGAAAATGAAATGGTAAGCCACAGCTGGGAGAAAAGATTCTGACAAAGGACTTGCATCTAGAATTTATTTAAAAACAAAACCAAAACCAATAAGAAGAAAGCCTGTTTAAAAAAGTGGGGAAAAACCGAACAGCTATTTCCCAAAAGAATATATATACAAATGGCCAGCAAGCACATGAAAAAATATTCAACATCATCAGTCATCAAGGAAATGCAGTTTAAAATCATTTCTGTCACTATAGATTCTTGAACATAATGTGTCATGATCGAAATCAGATTACTGGTTCCTGTGACAGTATGGAGAAGGTGATTGCACAAGGGAACTGTCTGGGGAGATAGAAATGTTCTGTATCTTGATTGGGGTAGAGATTACACAGATGTAAAAATTTATCATATCACATTCAGTAGAATAGCTAATTTTGAAGACTTTCAGTAGCAAAAGTAGACAATGATACGGAATAACTGGAGCTCTCCTGCGTTGCTGGTAAGAGTGTAAATGCTACATATTTGGGGCACAAATGTTGGAAAACAGTTGGACAGTTTCTTATAAATTAAAAATTCACCTACCTTTTAACTTAGCAATTCCACTCTTTTAGTTATGTATCCAAAAGAATTGAAAACATATGTTCAGAAAAAGCCTTGTATTAAAAATGTTTATAGCAGCTTTATTTTTAATAGCCCAAACTGGAAACAACTCACATGACTACTAGGAGAATAGATTGTGGAATATTCATGAATGGAATATTATGCAGCAGTTAAAACAAATGAACTACGTATATACACAACAAAATGGAAAAATCTCATAGTTGTTAAGCTGAGTGAAGAAGCTATGCACAAGAGTACATACTATTTAATTCCATTTATATGAAATTCTTTGACAGATCTATATAATACTGCAGAGGAGTATAAGGGAACTTTATGGGGAGATAGAAATGTTACTATATCTTGATTGAGATGGAAGCAACACAGGTTTATAAATTTATCAAATCATTAACCACTATACTTCATTTTTTTAAAAGATTTTATTTATTTATTTTAGAGAGAGAGCACACGTGCGTGAGCAATGGGAGAGGCAAAGGGAGAGGGAGAGAGAGAATCTTAAGCAGGCTCCACACCCAGCTCGTGAGCCCCGTGCAGGGCTGATCTCATGACCCAGAAATCATGACCTGAGCAGAAACCAAGAGTCGGATGTTCAACTGACTGAGCCATCCAGGCACCCCAATCATTTAAATTAGATTTTATTACATGTAATTTATACCTTAATAAAGTTGATTTTTTAAAAACCTGTTTTTTTTTTAAAAAGTTTTAATTTCTTAAAATTACTTTAAAATAATGCTTTACATAACATTACCCATTTGTGTTATGTATTATTGTGATTAATATAGCTATACATATTTCTGAGATGATGATGGATGTGCATGACACTGTCCCGAACTCTCATTTGTGTCCACTTTAGGCGAACAAGACCCCAGGCAATAACTGGGTCTTCTGTCCTTAGGACTCCTAAAAAATTGTTCAGAGCTTAACCTGGCAATTGAGGTCCTCTCAGAGTTCAGCTTGGTTTGTACAGGATTTAGTTGTAATTTAGCATAGAGAATAATTTTGGAGCTTTTGAAACTTTCCCTATGGTGTTTTAGTCTGTAATTTATTTTATTGAAAATACTATATGAGGACACTTTTAGATTTAAATTTAATGAGCTTTCCTCTTTTCTCTCTAGCCCATTTTTCAGTGAAGAATTTTACTTTGAGATTCCAAGAACTTTCCAGTATTTGTCTTTCTATGTTTATGATAAGAATGTTTTACAAAGAGATCTTCGTATAGGTATGTACTATTCATAATTATCTTTAATCACAGCATTAGTGTTTATATTCATTCTTTCACTAAGTATAAAGTGTTGAAAACAACAGAATAATACATGCTCAACATTTCTAATCCTTTTCTTTAGTCTTCAAGTTCATTGGTGAATCTTTTAATTTGTATGCTCAGCTTTGGTAACACTTTGAAAGTATCTTAACTGATTCCTCCCCCCCCCCCCGCCCCCAGTCATGGTGTCATATGTTCACAAAATACCTGATGGGGCATTTTCCATAGTATTCATTATACTTGTTCATCAGTTTGTTGTTTAATATCTAGACTCTCTAGTTGAATATGATATTTATGAAGGTAGAGATTGTCATTCACAGAGTGCCTTACATTTAGTAGATGTTTGGTAAGTATTTGCTGAATGGTTCAAAGAATGTTTTTATACAAAGATCACAGTGTTTGATCCCCCAAAAAACATTTATTTTTCAAGTTTTTCTACTAGAAGTAATAATTTGCTTTAATCTAGACATGTGTTTTTCTTTCTGGCTGTGTTGGTGACCATTAACTCTGTTTCTTAAATAATTGTCTAAGGCTGGGGTGTGATCTATGGGCATGGAGTAGAACAAAGCTAAATGGACACACATGTGTCATCGTGGTCTTTGCTCCAGTGTCTATATTTTAATAACAGGTAGAGGTCTATCATTTACATGTATTATCCTCTCACTTTTTAGTATCATGAATTTTGTCATCTCTTCCTCTCTTTTCTGATTTGAAATATGCGCAAGTCTTCCACAGTTTAAATGATTAAGCTTTATTTGACTTTGTCCTCTTAACTACCACCTGATTTGTTTCCGCTTTTGTTCCTGAACTCCTTAACAAGTGGTTTGTATCCTTCTGCTTACTGCTTCTTTCTTTTTAAATCTTTGTAATCTTGCTTCTACATTTTTCTGACAAACCTTTTTTGAAGTTTGTCAGAATCATTTTAGAGGAAATCAAATAACCTTGAAAAACAGTATATATATATTTTTAATTATAAAACTATTACATGTTCTTAGTGACTAGTAGTGACTGTGATCAGGAATAACTACAGTTAATAATTTGTGTATTTCTTCCCATTCTTTATGCATTTGTATTATTACATTGCACTATTCAGTGTATTTTTTTAACTATTTTTTCCTTTTTTTTCATCTAATGATCCTTTTCCCCTGTCATAAAGTATTTTCCAAAAATATTTGTTAAATAATATTCTTTGTAAAGAAATTATTATTTGAGCTAATTCTTTGTTGAACAATTATGTTTTCAGATTTTTGGTGCTCTTAATGGTGTTGCTGTGAACATCCTTCTTTTTTTTTTTTTTTTAAAGATTTTATTTATTTGAGAGAGAGAGAATGAGAGATAGAGAGCACGAGAGGGAAGAGGGTTAGAGGGAGAAGCAGACTCCCTGCTGAGCAGGGAGCCCGATGTGGGACTCGATCCCGGGACTCCAGGATCATGACCTGAGCCGAAGGCAGTCGCTTAACCAACTGAGCCACCCAGGCGCCCTGTGAACATCCTTCTTGCATAAACTGTTGCTTGTCTCTTTTTCTTAGAATAAATTCCTAGAAGTGAAAATACTGAATTAAAGGGTATGAATATTTTTTAAATTTCTTCTCTCTCCGTTTTTTACATTGGCCCCCAGAAATACTTTACTAATTTAAATGCCCCCAAACGTGGCATGAGCATAATCATTTCGCCATACCCTGGTTATTCTTGGATATTAGCATTGAAAAAATTTTCTCCCAGTTTGACAGGTGAAAAATAATACTTTTTAACTGTATTTTTCTGATTATCAGTGAATTTGAGGAATTTTTCATATGTTTATGTCTTCTACATTTTTCTTTGAACTAGTTTTTCATTCTTATGCCTATTTTTCATTTGGATGGATTTCGTTATTCTTATGCATACTTATTTGTTAAAAATATGTTAACTTTTGTCAGCTGTATATTTAAATATTTTTTTTCTTTGTCACAAAAGGCATTTTTGGAGTGCTGAATCCTTATCTACCTCTCTGTCATATTTGACTCTTTTGATTGCTTATTCAACTTGTTGAAAGCCAAGGAAAATACAATTTAATGACTTTGTATTTTCCTAGTTGTCTTTCTTCTTCTGACTTCTTTATTTATATGCGGACTCTTCTCTTTCTAGAAAGCCCTCAATTATGAATCACCCTTGAGGCCCCATCCTCAATTCAATTAAACAGCCATTTACAGACACTTCTGTGTGGCATATAAAGGATGGGAATACTAAGATGAATAAGACTCGTGTTATTCCCAGGCTATCGAAGAGGCACACTTGTACTCTAATTCTAATTTGTTATAATTGGATCTGTGCTGGAGGTCTGAACAGAGTACTTGGGAGAACAGGTAATCTTGTTTGGTGGGGGATTAACAGACTAAGGAAAAGGAAGAAATTTCCAGGTAATAGGGATTAGCAGAATTAGGGGATAAATAAATCATGTTTGTGCTGTATCTGTTGGAATATATAAATTACTTAGGAAGAGGGCAGTAGAAATGAAACAGGGACTATAAATTGGGGCCAATTTGTGATGGACCCTGAAGGCTGTGCTAAGGATTTTGGACTTTATCCTAAGACAGTAGTGCTGAGCCTTTTAAGAATGAGAAACCTTTTAAAAATTACATGTAACTATATATACATGAATACTTTCGTGGTTTAACAACTTTCTGTGGCAGACAATGGTACTTCAGAAGTCCAAACTCAGTGTCTATAGATAACATATGTAAAATGTATATGCATGTAATTATATATAACTATATATTCTTTTAAAGTATATATACACACACTTTACATATGTAATCTATAGTTTATGTTTTAGAGAGATTAGAGTCAGGGAGGCTATTACCAGATGAGAAGCAAAGGGCAATAGGGGTGGGAATGCAGATGAGGGAATGTACTTCACTGGAGGAGCTGCAGGTAGGATTTGGGGACTTCAAGGGGATAAAGGGATGTGAGAAAGCAAAGGGTTTAAAAAGAGTCTTGTTTCTATGGCTGTCATTAACTGAGATAAAGAACACTGCAGGACCATTCAGTTTTGAGTGGGGGATGGGAAGAGGAGAGGATGACTTTGATTTCAAACAAGTTAAACTTGTATTACCTGGGGAACATCTTGGTGGACTGGTGGTTGGTTGACTGTTGGAAATACAGATCTGAGGCTTAGAAGAGCAGGAGAGGTGAATTTGAGTCATTAGCATTAAGTGATATTTCATGCCTCTGCTGGAATGAATGAAATTGTCCTGGGAGCAGATAAGGAAAATGCCAGGAAAATGAGGCTTCAGTGAAGATTGATAAAGTTTATCAGGAGGGTAGGAAGAGAGGAGAGATTCATATCTCAGAAGGCCAGGAGATCTTTTAATGTCAACAACTAGGGAGAGGTAGAGCAGGATAAGGATTGGATAAAGGCTCTTGGTGATTATGAGCGGCCCTTGAGAGTGTGTCTCTGATTATCATGTCTTCTTAAGAAAATGTTTTGTAATTTTCATTGTTTGCACATAATGTTATAATCATACCATGTACTTATTGAAAAGGCCTTTTGTTGAGGTTTATTGTTACGATTTCCGAAAGTTCCCCTGTGCTTTGTTTTTTGTTTTTAAAGTAAGTCAGTTGTACTTTAAGCAAAAAAAGTAAGAAACAGTTCTTTTTCTTTTAAGATTGTATTTATTATTTGAGAGAGAGAGAGAGAGCACAAGCGGGGAGGTGGGGGGAAAGGGGCAGAGGCAGAGAGAGAAGCAGACTCCCTGCTGACCTGAGCTGAAGGCAGATGCTTAACTGACTGAGCCACACAGGTGCCTCTGAGTAAAAATCCGTTTTTTGTGGAGTGGTATCAGAAAGGCATAATTTGGTATGAGAACTTTTGTTTGCAAATAAGCTTATTTTTTTAAAAAATATTTTATTTATTTGACAGGGAGATAGCACAAGCAGGGGGAGCGGCAGGCAGAGGGAGAGGGAGAAGCAGGCTCCCCACTGAGCAGGGAGCCTGATGTGGGGCTTGATCCCAGGACCCTGGGATCATGACCTCAGCCGAAGGCAGACACTTAACCAACTGAGCCACCCAGGCGCCCCGCAAATAAGTTTATTAGAGAAAATTTCTACATTTAGTAGCAGTTTTTTTTTTCCTTTTACATATGGGAAACTCAAAGTAAACTCAATTTGTACGTACCCTTTAATTTAAAGTTGAAAAATGGTTTTCATTTATGAATTCTTATGTTTTTGTAGTTTAACATTTTCTTTTGCCATTAACTCATAAAGTTGGGTTGTTGCTTTTTTTAAAAAAAAATTGAGCTATTGAAAATTGGGTTCAGTCAATTATTTTGTAACTCTTAGCTGCCAAGTTGTAGAATAAACAGTGCCATAGCGTTTTCTAGAAATGAAATTTGAACTAGAGAGAACCATCTTTCAAACTTAAGAAGATCTGAGAATGTATACTGGTCAAATACAGTTTTAAGAGCTTGTTTGTTTTTTATTTTTAATTGTATAAGTAATATATGAATTTTTTTCTTTTTGCAAAAGGAGAATTTTAAATTATGGTATTACAGATAATCCTAATTAATTTTGACTACTGACTCCCTCCCCTTCCTAGAAGTAATAACTGTTACCAATATTGGGCATAATATTTTATATTAGGCATTTTCATATGCCAGGTAGTTAGTGAAAAAACTCGGTTATGGATCAGTTAAAAACTTGAGACCTAGGGACTATGCAATAAAAAGATAGGAAGTTGCAAAATTAAGGTTTTAAAAGTCTTTTACTGTATGATATATTGTTCTAAGGTATAGTGTCTTCTCTTAAAAGGAAAGAAATAGAGAAGAGAAAAACTTTATGTAGGAATGTATTTCCATTTCCAGTGAGAGTCAGAATACAAAAATTAAAACATATTTTATCTTCTTTTTTTTTTAAAGATTTTATTTATTTATTTATTTTACACAGAGAGCAGAAACACAAGCACTGTAGTCTACCTTCCCATATTTTTTTCCTGTTCTTATGTCCTAGAGATTTCTTTTTTCCAAGCCGAAAAAAAATGTGGATTCTCCCCAGGGCAGGAGACTTACCTAGCTGTAATTTTTAAAAGATTTTTATTTATTTATTTGAGAGAGAGAGTGCACAAGCAGGGGGAGAGGCAGGCAGAGGGAGAGGGAGAAGCAGGCTCCCCGCTGAGCAGGGAGCCTGATGCGGGGCTCAATCCCAGGACCCCGGGATCATGACCTGAGCCGAAGGCAGACACTTAATGACTGAGCCACCCAGGCGCCCCTATATTTTATCTTCTTATGTGTATTTTCTAGGTATTTTAGTTTGAGAGAGACACAACTAAACTGTGGTTATCTTAGTAGACTTTGGCAACTTTTTTTCTTTTCCCTCGGTTCATTACAGTATAAGAGAATTTCACTGGGATGTCAGAGACCTGAATTCCATTCATGACTCTATCATGTGACCTTAAACATATAACTTTACCTTCTTAGGCCTGGTTTATCTATAAAATAGGCTGAGTTTAAGATTCCTTAAGGATTTTCCAACTCTTCGATTTGTCATTTCTGCTGGCATTTAGCTCTGAAGTCAAACTTACCGTTTAAAAATTGCCTAAGACCACACTTCTTTATCCGTTTGCATAGGGTCTGTATCAGTTACCTATTACTACATAACAAACCTTTCCAGTACTTGGTGGCTTAATACATTAACCATATATTTGGCCATGATCCTGAGGATTGTCAGTTTGGGCTGAGCTCAACTGGGTGGTTCTTCTGCTGGTCTCACCTGGGGTCGCTGATGTGTAGTTATCTGGGAAATTGACTGGACTGAATGGACTGACTCCTCTGTCTGATGGCTGGTGCTGGCTATTATCTGGGTCTTCCTTTCCACATGATATTGGGGTTTTAAGAGGCTAACCCCTACTGCACAGGTGTTTATTAATTAAAATTCTACTTGCATCACATTTGCTGATGTCCCATTTGGCAAAAGCAAGTGACATGGTCAAACCCAGGGTCTGTGGTGGAGGGGACCACACAATGGCATAGATCAAGGAAGTATGACTTATGGGAGACCATTGATATACTGGACTCCTACCACAGAGAACAAAAGATATCTACCTAAACTTTATGTACTAAGGCAGCATCAAAGTTTTGCTGTTGACTGAACTGCTGTTGTTGACTATCTGCCAGAATTTATTTAGTCTTCTGGTCCTTTTTCATCCTGTATAGGCAGTCACAGTTGTCACTGCTTTTATCTGCTCTTTCAGCCATTTCTACTAGTGTCCATGTAGGAACAGGACTGTCAAGATTTGCTAACTGGTGATCTGTATCAGGATGAAATTTCCAAGAATAGGTTGTATCTAAAAATGGGACCCAAATATAACACAGTTTTTACAGATGGCAAGAAAATGCTGCTTAGAAGTGGTGCTGGAAAGCTGAGAATACTTTTTTTTTTACTTAAGAGACCAACAGAGATGGTTTCTGTGCCCACAGTTCCTTCATTTCTTGTGGTGTTTCCTCTCCTTGTCTTATTTTAAGGAACTAATACAGCATCTGGTATGTGTATGTGTATGTATTTATGTTTGGTCTAAGCTCTTTATGTCGTGAGTTTGTCAGGACAGTAGGGAAATGAAATAGTACCTTTAAATTGTTGGGTAGTTTGTTCCTGGGAGGTTTTGTTGCTGTTGTTGTGTTTTGTTTTTTGTGTTTTTTGTTTTGTTTTGTTTTGAGGTGGTTAATTTTGTGACCGCTAAGGTAATGAGTTAACTTTGTTCAAAATAGTAAACACTAAACTATCTTTGGGACCGTTAGAGTCACAAAATTTATGCAGCTAATCAGAAGCGTTTCCCTCTGAGAAGACAAGAACCATTCAACTCTTTCATGATAGCAAGTACCATGGATGCATGAGATAGGAAATAGGAGGAAGAAGGTACTTGGCTTCTGGGAATTTTTACCTATGAACTAAGGGTTCTCTTTTGGGAAAGGCACCTGTGACAGAGAAGATGTATTTCCAGTGATCTGAGTTATGAGCCATAAATGGAATAGGTAGATTCCTCCTCTAGTTTTCAGAAGCATTACTGGTAAAATATACTTTGGTTAGGGGAGTCTGGAAATTACATCAGCATTTAAAGCACAGTGCCATTGTGACTATTTGTTGAAAGAATAAATGGATCAAACCAAATAATAAACTTCCAAATAAACTTTTTAAAAAACTCTGTTTTTAAGTTGGGGGCTTGCTTTGGTGATACTTGTAAATATCAACATATATACACATATGTATATTTGCATACATATTCATAAATTTTGTATAAATCTAAAAATCCTGGAAATTGTAGAATAGGAGTCTTAACCAGGAATCTACCAGTGAGTTTCTGGATGGTGAGTAAGCTCTTTTAAAATTATATGCCAGATGATATCTGTGCATTTTTCTGGGGAGAGAACACAAACGACGCATAGATACCAAGATTCTTAAAGGGGGAAATGAGTTGTTCTTGAAATGTAAGACCTTCAGCTGTGGGATATATAGATCTATTTCTATATGTACATGTGTGCATATATATGTATCAAACTGTTATACATTGCCTTAATGTTTATACCTGGAGTGGAATCAATGGTAAATGGAACCACTTGAAAGAATGATGATAATCATGATCCTTTGTGACATGCAGTATTTAATACTTCGTCATAATTCTATACCCCAAGCCATTCCTGGTATTGTATTGATTTGCCAGGGATTTGATAAAATCTGTAGGTAAAACATATCAAGAAATTTGTATGATTTGACTCTTAACCTAAACTTCTTCAACAGTATAAAGAATATTTGGGTGTTACAGTTAGTACCTAAATCCTGTACTTGGCTTTTAGTCTGTGTATTTGGTACTGGAAGAATTTCTGTTTTCCCATCATTTTGTATCTTAAATGTAACCAAAAAAAGTCTGAAATATATTATTTTCCTGGTGCCGTTCCTTAACAAAATTTGAATGAATTATAAATGCCATATACTCACAAGAAGATTATGGCCTTTACATTAGGATATTTTAAAGAAAGTTGGAAGGATTTGTGCTTAATTGTGAGGACCAGTTTATTAATTTTAAAATTTTACATGTTTTAAGCTTTATGTGTTACTGGATATAGCTGATGAATTTTCAGTAGTTCTCTTTTGGGTTGTATATTAATACAGTTGTCCCTCTAAAGAAAATATTTGTAGCTGTGAATTTTAATATTTTCCTTAAAATTACACATATGCAGATAATGTTTGTAATTTGAGTTCCAGTTCATGAAAAGGAAGATAAGCTTATCAAAATTTTAATATGGTTAAATTTTTTTAACAATTTTTTATTGAGGTATAATTTACATGCCATAAAACTCACTATTTTAACATACAGTGCGCACATTGTATATATTCACAGATTTGTGCAACCATCACCACTACCTAATTCCAAATAAAATTTTAAAGGTTTTTCTGGGTTTGTTTTCTTGTCTTGTCTTTCCTTTCCACTTAATACACAAAAAATTGGTATATCTTGACAGAAATTTTTTACTGTTTCCTTAAAGCTTTCAAATGTGGAACTAAAAGACCAAGATCGGTCAGAAGAGAAAGGGCATGAAGTATAATTAGGACGCTTAAAGTAAAAATTCTTATTTGATAAAAGAAAGCAAACTTTGACTTTAGTATATATCTTTTGTTAAAGCTTTTGTGTAGACTCTTGGAATAAATTGCCAGTCATATGCAAAACTGTGTCTGCTTCTTAAAACTTGAATTGAGGAAGGAAATGCTTTGTACCAACATGGCAAATACTTTATTATAATAAGAACATTTCTGTTTCTTCCTCTCATACAACTTTGTTCATTGTACTGTATCTTTCTCTTAGGGGTAGAAACTCTTTAGGGAACTGCCCTGATTTTGTGTGTGTGTGTGTGTGTGTGTATTCACTGAAGCAGCATAAGCAGTGTTTATAATGTTTTGATAAAAGCAGATTTTAAAATTGCTGTTTTAATCTCCCAAATTTTCAAGTCAGTTTTCAATATTGTTAGTGATGTATGATACTGTTTTTCTTTTAATTGGAACTTATGAACTCTTATTAAATGGAGATGGGTCTGCCTAGATAGAACATAGAGTTTATTCATAGTTTTAACCGATTGGGAGGATTAGTTTGCATTATCATTGTACATTGCTTTTTACATGGTGGAATGTATTCTGGGTGAAAACGTGAATGTGAATAAGTACTGAAAAAGGCAGTTGCATATAAATACAGCTGAGTTTTTATCTAATCCTCTGATTCAAAAAAAGGGTCTGCCAAGGGGCAGGGGGAAATGGGGCACTTTTCATTCTTTAGAATACAGAAAACACCTTAAAAAAAAAAAAAAGAAGAAAGAAAGAAAACACCTTGACCAAAAATCTGTCACAGAATTTTGAGACCCATTAAAACAAAAGTTTAATGAGGAAAAAAAAATACTTTATAAAAATGGATTTTTTAGTATCAATAGGTACAAATCAATTTAAAATATTTTCTATAAAGTATTATACATTACAGTGCTAATGATGATACAAAATGTTTCCCTTATATTGTTTTTTTTCCTATAGGAAAAGTAGCCATCAAAAAAGAAGATTTGTGTAACCACAGTGGCAAAGAAACCTGGTTTTCGCTACAGCCTGTCGATTCCAATTCGGAGGTTCAGGTAAATATTAAGGCTTAGATAATGTGAGAGACTGTCAGCATAGAGAAAGCGAGTGGAAAGCAAACTGTACTTGTTTCTGTAGACAGTGCTTATCATACATTACTTTAAATTCTGGGACCAAATATTATAGAGCTTTAGGTAATATATAGCTGGAAAGAAATGCCTTGCCACATGAATTCAAGAATAATGCTGCACATTGTGGGTGTGTGTCTGAGTTTAGGGAGGTTATATTAGGGGGCTATTTCCTGCTTTAGTTCTTTTGTTTGAGTCACAGTGGCAAATTATTAATTTTTTTTAAGATGGGAAAAATTTTTAAGAGAAAGGTTGTGTTTTATTCTGACTTTGAGGAGAATCCTTGAAGTCTGTGATTTCATCTCTTCTGACCAGGATGCTGTGTTTACTCTCTTAATAAACTAGTCTTGGGAAAATGTTATTCATTCAAACCATGCTTGAGCCCACCTTGAAAGAGCCTTTTCATTCCCACACCCACCCTCTTCCTGTTGTTCACCTTTCTTTTTATTTGAAAGGGTGTCATTACTCTTTTTAAAGCTCTTCTTTCCTCTTTCCAAAATAAGAGGTCTTACAGATCTATATGTGAGTAAAGATGTATGTTTAGCCCCAAGTAGCTTAGCTTTCTATTTGTTTTTGAAAAGTCTGAGTTGCTCTTAGAAAATGTTATTTCTATCTAAAGGGAATCCTTTTTTTGTAACTCTGTTTATTTATAAAATATGGTAAGGATTGTGAAACCATTGTGAAACCCGAGGACATACTGCAAGCAGAATTCTTCCTCTCTCAAAGAAGTTATAATTTGCCACTGTGACTCAAACAGAAGTTTAAGAAAAAAGTGCTGCATATACACCCACAGATATTTGCAAATAAAGTGTTTCCTCATAACCTCTGAAGCATTCTCTTTGATTAAATTCCCAAAAGCTTAAGTATTTGTATATAAAACCCCTTCTTAAGTACAAAATATAATTGAAATTTTTCCTATTTTATTCACTCGACCTCATTTCCACTTGGCAATAACTGTCGTTCAGATCCCACTTAGCCACTATCGTGTACGACCCAGGTGAGAGGCAGTGTGACGAAATGGAAAAGCTTTTACACGAGAAGTCAGAAAATTTAGGTGCTAATTTTCATATGTGGTTACTTCACTGACCTTGAATTTTATTTCTATAAAATGGGAATAAAAGTTGCCACGTTGACTCATAGGATTGTGAGAATTAAGTGAAGTGTCTTTAACAGTGTTGTGAAAGCTGTCAGTTGCTACACAAATGTAAAATACCTGTCTACCGGCAGTCGCTCTGTGGTCCTTTCCATTTCCCTAATATAACTTTACCAAAAGGCAGATAGGAAAGTTTTAAAGGATCAGTTTTCCTTTTTAATTATTTTAACAAAAAGCAAGATAAGAAAAGGCTTTGAGAATTTAGTGTAAAATGAAATTTGAGGATTATTTTAAGATGTAGTTTATTGAAGTTCCAATAAAAATATAAATACTAACTTGCTAAAGGATTTAAGGCCCCCAACTCTCAAAAAGTAGAAATCTCTCTAGAATACTCTGTGTAATTCTTGGAGATGGTATTAAAGATTAGTATTGGATAACAAGCTTTTATTTAGTGGTGTATGTAAAACTCATCTCTGGAACATAAAAATTCTGGAAATAACAATTGTTAGAGATAATGTCAACATTTTTTACTTGTTATAAGTGATTTTCATGACCATGAGTTATTAACCTTTATAGGTCTTTTGCTTAAATGATACTTAATTAGTAAGATCTAATTCTTTTAAATATATTTTAGGAGGAAAAGTGCTTTAGTGGGTGGGAGGGATACAGAACCCCTTTCAGGTTAATATAGTACTGCTGGAAATGTTGTTTGGCCCCAGAACTAATCTAGGAATACTAAATTAACGTCGTGAGCCTAGAAAAGGTAGAAGAAGAAGCCCATGATTCATACAAATCCTACTTTGTTAATAAATTTGTTCACTTGCATAAAGTTTATAAAATTTTACGAAAATATCATGGAAATAATAGCAATTGATGGAGCCGTAGGAGAAAGCTATGAAAAGGATTGAGTTCAGTAGGAATTCCACCTAATAATTACTATTAGTGATTAAACAGTATGTACCAAGCACAGTATTACATACTTAATATATATTTTTTCATTTATTCTTCAGAAAAGCATTATGAGGTACAGGAAGCGTTACCCTCATTTTACAGATATAGAAAATGGATTCAGAGAGGTTAAATGACATCTCCAAAATCAGAACTATTAGGTGATGGAGTCCTGGTTCCAATAGAGATCTCTAGTCTGATTCTAAAATTCCTAACCACGGTACTTTACTGCTTTTCACTCTTCGTAGTTTTGGTCACGAAAAGGCTTCAACAGATTATTAGGCGGGGACATGTGAGTATAAGGAACAGAAGCCTACTCAGATTAGCTCAAAGAAAAAGGGAGGGGCATTTGAAAGTTCCTAGGGAATTTCTTGGAGTATAATTACAGGAACTTCAGTATGGCCAATGAGAGCTGGAAGTTGTCAGGCATTTACTGAGGAGTTGTCTCTAAAGTGGAGGTCGGGTTCTTACAATAATAAACTAGATACAGTTCACAGAGTCAAAATCGTTTTTGAAAAGTTTTTAATTTCTCATAAAGTATACTAAAATATTGGGTGGGTGGTTTGTTTCTACTTGATCACTACATAAAATAGTTGACTTGCATTTGGGACCATGGTGAATAAAAAAATATATATTGTGTCTTTAAACTGTGGCCTTCCACTCGGTGCAGCCATAGATACTGCAAGGGGCACTTGGGAACCGAGATCCACTGATTCATTTCTTCCCACTCATATGCTCACTGTGCTCATTGAGTGTAAGTGCTCACTGTTTAAATAGTGTTTTTTCCTTTCCCTCTCATTTTGTAAATGAATAGTTAATATTTTCTGTCTTGCTCTCTCATTTTAATACTATTCACTTTGCAAAATGAAAGGAAAAAAACCACTAATGATGAGATTCCCTTGTATTCTTTTTGTACGTCTGATGAGATTACATGTTTCTCACTTCTGCTTCTCTTTAATCTCTTGTTGACAGCTAAAAAAATGCCCACATCAGCCTTTGAATTTACATGACCATACAACCCCTCACTTTCTGAGATCTGAGTTAGTTCTCTGCCGCAGTTTAGAGAATTTGGCCCAACTAGGGTCAGATGTCTACTGCATACTAGTTGGTATGATTGGGGGGATAAAGTCACTGTAGAACAGGCCGTTTTGGGGCTTTGGGTAGGCATGATCCCTAAGGGGTTTAGGTAGAGGAAATGATTGGCATTTCTACTTCAGAGGGGAAGTTGTTTGATTTCCTAGCTCTACTACTAATTGCCATTTGTACTCAAAACAGTTGCTAACCTGTTGTTGTCTGAGGCTCTTCATCTTTGAAATGAGAACTTCAGTGTATGGGATTCCCTTCAGTTCTGAAGTTGTAGGGAAGTAACATGCAGAAACGTAATTTAGCCTTGAATTGAAAAGATCCCAATAGTAGTAAGATGCGTTTTATACTAAAAACAGTTGAAAATTGCAAAGAACGCTAAACCTCTTACCTTGGATTGGTTCCCAGATGCTTTATTATTGCTGTTAATAACATTAATCATTTTCAGTTTTCTTTTCAAACATTGAAGATATTATTAATATTTCATGAGTGCATTTTTCTACACTTTTTTTTCTGTTCTTTTTTTGTTTTTGTTTTGTAGTTACTCCCTGTGGATTGAAACATTCTCTTTTGAACCCACTCTGATCTGCCTTCATACCCCACAATGAGCTAGAGGGAGAGCACAAAGGGCTCTCAACTAACGTTACTCATGACATTGTGTCAATAAGTCTGGTGGACATTTTTCAGTCCTCTTCTTATATAATCTTTCAGTGCTTTTCATAATGTTGACCACTCCTTTTTGAAACATTCTCTTCCTTAGTTTCTGGTTGTGGTTATCATCCTACTTCACTTGGTATTCTTTCTACTACTCTTTGCCACACAAATGAAGTTAATTTGGACTGTGTTGGTGCCTCTATCTATACATGCTCTTTTGGCTTCAGTGATCTGCAGCCATGCTGTTAGCTATATAGTGCTGGAACTCACAACAAACTTGAAATATTTTTCCTTTCTTTAGTTCTTAGGTGCTGAGATAAAGAGCATACGTCCACATAAGACTGATTAAACCATTTCTCTTTTATGGAGAAGTTGGTACTCTCATTAATTAAGACTGTTTGTCTCACAGAACTTGTACAAGAAGTAAATCTAGATGTGCTGTCAATCACGTCTTCTGATGTAATCACTTAGTTAATAAGTCTTTACCAACAAGCTTATCTTGAATTTCTGGATCATGCCATAAGTTATTGATTGTTTTATGGTTGTTGTTGTTATTGTTTTTAATATGGCCTCTGCCCTACCTATTTAAACAAGCGTTAAAAGTAACAAATGCAGTGATTATACCTAATATATACATCTGTTTTTTTAAACACCCCTGATTAAAACATAATGTAAAGGTATAATTCATTGTTGCAGGAAGAAACTTCATTTGTAAATTTGTAAACATGAAATAACAAAGAAAGGAGCTATTCTAGATTGTAATAAATACTTCTTCAAAGAGGAAAAGCAGATCCGTCCATAAATAAGAGAGATTAAGTAAAACCTTTATTTTGTTTTTCATCTGATAGCCAGTTGTGTCCAAAATGTTTTATAGTTAATTACTACATATGAAAACATCTGGAAATCAGGAAGTTGGGATTTTTTTCCCCTCATATGAAGAAAACTTTTCACCAGTCGAAGTATACTGAGTTCTTGTATGTGGAATGGTTGTTACAATTCAGTGTTTTGTGATAAAAACTAAAAACTAAAAAAAAAGTGAAGAAATTTTAAAGTGTGTGCATTGGGGTTTGCCCAAATACCTATAATACACCTGAGTTTCCCAAACTGTATGCAGAAATTCATATGGTATCTTCTATATGGTACCATTAAAATAATCACAGATTCTTCTATGGGAACTTTTATAAAAGTATTTGAAATAAAACTAGCATATTATTAAACCTTCAGACAGTCCCAGAGTAATATAAGTTCCTAAATATGCTGTCTAGTACAAATTAATGTAATTGCATATATCAACCTAACGTAATCATTGCTATAAAATGCATATAGAATAATAGCTCCCCAAAATTTGGTTAACTTTAAATAAAACATATAGAATACAGTGCCAGGTATTCGATCTTCCAGTATTTCCTGACATATATGAAAATTACACTGTTTTGTCATTGAACCTCCCGTAGGAGATTGGATAATAAAGCAGTTGTGGACCAAATCACATTGCATGTTTATTGTCAAACATAGTTTCTTGTCAGAGTCTTGTAGTTGCTTCTTTGTGGCTATTGTCTCTTTTCTCTAGTTGCTTTTAGGATTTTCTTTTGATTTTCTGCTTTTAGCAGTTTTACTATGCTCTGCTTACATACGGTTTTCTTTATGTTTATCCTGTGGGTGTTCCTGGGGGCTCCTAAATCTCTACCTTGATGTCTTTGGTTTTGGAAAATTCCAGGCAATTATTTATCTTTTTTTTTCCTCCTTCCCTATTTTTTCTGTCTCTTCTTCTGGGACTCCGATTACATGAATAACAGACCATTTTCCTGTTTCATATGTCCCTTTATGCCCTCTCCCTCTCTGTGCTTCATTGTAGATATTTGCCCCTGACTAATTTATCTCCCATTACAGCAGTTCTTGTTTTGGCTGTGGCTCATTCGCTGTTAAATACATCCTCATTTTGGTTATTTTATTGCCTAATCCTAAACTTTTCATTTGATATACTTTATCAAATTTTTTGCTGGGTTTTTTCATTTTGTTGTCTACCTTAAAAAATGTAAGCAGCTATTTTAACCTGTGTCAGTTTACTCCAACATCTGCATCTCCTACTTTTTATTGGTTTTTATTTTTTGGTGTATGGTCTTGTCTTCTGGCGTGCTTCATCATTTTTAATGGAATGCTAGACATTGAAAAATATGAAATATTTTAGAGATAATTTGAAGCTGTGGGTGATACGGGTTTTTTTTCCTTCAGAGAAGACTTAATTTACTTACTGTCTACAGGCGATCACCTCAATGTAGTTAGGGATTCAGCTGATTTTAGGCTAGGTTTCCGGTCTTTGTAAAGGCTGGTCAGTGTTGTGTTCACCCTTGCTCCTTCGGCATAGTCTTTCAGAGATTCCAACAGAAAGCCTGCCTGTATGCCAGCGGCACTCTACCTTGGGGGGCCCTGGACTCCAGTTTTTTTTTTTTTTTTTTAAGGACTCCAGTTTTTATATGCCCAGCATCATGAGACTATAGACTGCTTTGTTTAAGTTCTTCAGCCTCTCAAGCCCCTGCTGAAGTTAGGGAGTCCCATTCAACAAGCTTCTCCAGATGCCCCACCAGCAACATCTACTTCGATCTCATTGGCCAGAATTGTATCCTATGACTGTCCTTAGCCTGTATCACCTGGCCTCAGAGGAGACTAGGAAATGTTTTACTGAACTCAAAACTGTCCTCTCCAAAAAATAGAAACAAAAAAACCCCAGAAAAACAACAAACACCGAACTTGTATCACTACAATCCAAATCTATAAAATGATAACAGGTGTAAATGAAATTAAACTTTTGTGTCAATGTATTAAGGAATACTAAATATTTCTTCTAAAATGTTCATAGATTTGGGTTTCTAACACTAAGAAGTAGCTTTAAATAATTTTTAAAACTTTTTTTTTTTGCTAAAGAACAGGACACATTGGTAGTAGAAATTTTAAAATCTAGATGAGCAAAAAAATCTGAAATCCTACCAACCAAAGGTAACTTCTATCAATATTTTAGTAGATGACCTTGTAGTAAGTTTATATAGTAATATATATAGTACATTTTATTTTTGCAAATTAACATTATATTATACACCCTGATTTGTATCTTGTTTCTTTTACTAGGTATCATGTATATATTCCCATGTTAAAGTATACAATGAGGTAGTGTTTTACAGTTTAGAAATTATAATTTCCTTGATTTAATTCATAATGCTTTTAGTGTTCCACCCTAATAATAAATGTCTTGTGTCTGTTCTGTCTACACTCTTTTCTTGACCAAGTTAAATAGCAATTATGTTATTGTTGACTAATACCAAAGGAATGGTCTTTTTAACAGCCAGTAGGAGTAATGAACACAGTAGGTAGGCTCTGACTCAGGGATAATGATTCCTGGTAGAATCCCATTAAATAGATTCTTTTTTTTTATTTCTAGGCTTTGCTTGATACGGGAATGCCCTGTTAGCCTACAATTTCTACCATAAAATGCATACATGTTAAAATAGTAAAACTGCTTTGAGATGCAAATGTTGATGCAGTCAGCTAGGCCCACTCACTAGGCAAGTGACACACATATGCTGGCCTGACAGCAAAGATGATTCAAAAATCTAATTGAGTAATATTAAAAATTACTACATATCATGGACCTTTTCCGGGTCACTCTCAAATGGTAGGGGTATTGAATATTAAAGCAGGATTAATGAGAGACCTATTTCATAAATTTTATATGATTTTATAAATATTTGTGCCTGGATTTTTAGCGGAAAATTTGCTTAATTTAGTTCCAGTTCCACCTTACTGGCGATTTTGCTACTACTGTGGCCTTTGTTTCTTTAGAGCTTAGCTTTCTCATGCAGACTTTTGCGTTGAGATCTATCAGTCAGCGTTTATTGCTCCTCACTCAGTATCCATCTAACCCTGAGCTTTGTAGTTAGTGGACCTCAGATTCATTCTTTTTTTATTTTTTATTTATTTATTTTTTAAATTTTATTTATTTATTTGACAGAGAGAGAGATAGCGAGAGCAGGAACACAAGCAGGGGGAGTGGGAGAGGGAGAAGCAGGCTCCCCGCGGAGCAGGGAGCCTGATGCGGGACTCGATCCCAGGACCCTGGGATCATGACCTGAGCTGAAGGCAGACGCTTAACGACTGAGCCACCCAGGCACCCTATTTTTTATTTTTTTTAAAGATTTTATTTATTTGAGAGAGAGAGAAAGAGAGATAGCACGAGAGGGAAGAGGGTCAGAGGGAGAAGCAGACTCCCTGCTGAGCAGGGAGCCCGATGTGGGACTCGATCCCAGGACTCCAGGATCATGACCTGAGCCGAAGGCAGTCGCTTAACCAACTGAGCCACCCAGGCGCCTTGAGATTCATTCTTATAGAGCAAACCCCCATAAAATAGTGAAGCTGATTCACGTTAGATTCCTGTGAAAGAATGTCTGAAAGGGGTTGTTCCAAAGAGGAATAGTGACTTGATAACGAACTTTCCTACCTCTGATGAAATTACTTATGTCATCAGCCTCTAGACATCACACCCCTGAAATCTCCACTGTGGGAATTTGTCTTGTCAGCTGGGTGGAGGTAATCCAGGACTGATCTTAACCACTTTAGAATTGCTCATAACCAGTTTAGAATTGCTCATTGCCAGTGGCAGGGTGGAAATATCAAGCTCTAGATTATATTGTTCCTAAACTTCTGTTTCATGAGAAGTTTATAGTTTGCTTTAAATTTATAATACTGAATTTTTTAAAAATCCATTTATTAAAAGTTACCAAAGAAAGTATTTTCAGTATCCCATTTTTTCATCAGTGCTGTGGGTCATATATTGTTATCTTTATTTATGGTCTCTCCAACTAGACTATGAGCTTCTTATGAGCAGTGATTGTGTCTTATACATCTATTGATTCCTACCCAGTCCTACAGTGCCTACTAACATATGGCAGATATTCCATAAATCTTTAATTTTCAGAAAAGTGTTGACAAATTGAATCTTACTAGTTTTAACTTAGTTTTATTGTTTTAGAATTGTATGATTTCTCTTGACCTTTAATGGTAGTGCCTCTGTTCTTATTGATGGTTTATCTTCTCTGGAAAAAACATTCTACATTTTATAATCTGCTTTCATTTCAAAATTTCCTAAAACATAAGTGCCATCTTTTTTTTTATCCATGGTAATTGAGATTCATAAATACTTTTTGAACTGGGCATTAAATTCTTAGATTGGAGTACCATGTCTGATATAAGCATCTGAGTTCTAGATCTACATTGTTGGTTATTCATCATTTAACAAGTACTTAATGTGGGCAAAGCCATGTGCTAGGAATCACTAAAATTTAGTGAACAGCTAAATATTACTGGTACCATTGGAAAAAGTACTTACCTTTAATATTTTGTCAGTAAAATAGACCATTTTTTTTCTCATTGTAGGGTAAAGTTCACCTTGAATTAAAACTGAATGAACTGATAACAGAGAATGGAACTGTGTGCCAGCAGCTTGTTGTACAGTAAGCATATTTCTTTTACCAAAATCAGCTGGAAATAATCCTCCATCATGTATTCTTTGAATCTTAACACCTTATTTTATATACTTCAGAAACTTTTTTTGAGAAATGAAACTCTGCTGTGTCACTCCTTTATTAAGTTGATTTCCAGTTTGTCTTCTCATATCTACTCATGTTATGATCGGTCATTAATTCATTCAACCTTATGTATTGAATGTGGGTTAAATGATAGAGATAGGCAGTAGGCTGTTACAGGACCCGAGCTAAGCATATCTAACTCCCTGGCAGGGTGGAGTTGGAAAGGCTTCCTGGTGGAGGGCCTCTAGAGATGCTGATACCACAGAGCTGAGCATTAGGAAACCTGGGACTAAAACTAAATGGCTACCTTGGGATGTACCAGTATCGATTCTTACCTACTTTAAAATTCCCCTTTTGCCCTCAAGTCATTTTTTGTGGTTCAGACTAATCTTCTAACTGCTCTGGAAATGCAGATTTCCCAGCCCAATCCTCTGCCTTTTCTCTTCCACCCAGATTTTTCCTGTGTTATCAGCAAACTACTGAATATCCCTGACTTCTTCTGAATGTTTTTTCTTTGTCTTAACTGATAACCTGAATATCCCCTGAGTTACTGTTTCCTCTACTGCCTTCTCAGTTAGAGGCTGTTTTCTACCATACCCACTTACCTTAGAGTGGGGTAAGTGTTACTGTACTATTGCTGCTCCAGACTATAATTTCTTATCCTAATTATGAACACCCCAGCTCCTTTGAGGCATTTTCCCTGTCTCTCTCCCTCTCTCCTTTCCTCTCCCTCTCTCTCTACTTATTTATATTTGTTATATATTTAATATTTTTTAACTCTTTTAAAGAAGGTTGCATATATCATGATCCTTATTAATTGTGTATTTCCTAAGAATAAGGATATTCTTTTAAATAACTCTAGTACAGTTATCAAATTTAGGAAGCTTAACATTATTATAATAAAAGTATAATGTATAGTTTTTGTATTCCAATACTTTAATCTGCAGTTATTATATTTTACTTTTGTCAACTGTCCCAATAATACCCTTTAAGATATTTTTTTCTCTGCAAGAAAGGATCCAGTCCAAGATCATGTATTACATTTAGTTTATATGTCGCTTTAATCTCCTTAACCAGTAATAATTTGTAGCTTTTCTTTATCTTTCATGTTATTGAGATTTTTGAAGAATACAGGCCAGTTGTTTTTTTTTAATGTTTCTCTATTTGGATTTACCTACTAAAAAGAGCTCAAGATTTGTTTGTAGCATTTTTCCCCCAGACTGAGAGCATATAGTGAAAGTGTTTGGATTAGTCCGTTCCACCATTCCCTCTCCCTCCCTTGCTCACTTTGGTTATGTTATAACATTTGAAATAGTTGGTTTGTTTTGGTTTGTTTACAGTCAGTTTAATGTTTTTTCCCCCCATCCTTGTTGTTTACTTTTATTTTTTTAATATGTAGAATATTTGCATGACTTCAGAAGTCAAAACTCTACCAAAAGGCATTACTCAGAGATGTGTTTAGTCCTCTCTGCCTATACTCAGCACCAGGAAACCATGACCTGATTTTGTCCCTATAGTTTTGCCTTTTTCAAAATGTCGTATGAACAGATTGCTGTAATATGTAGGCTTTTGTGAATGGCTTCTTTCACTTAGCATAATCCTTTTGAGATTCATCCACATTGCTGCACATATCAATAGTTATCTTTTTTTATTTTTATTTTTTAAAGATTTTTTTTATTTATTTGACAGAGAGAGACACAGCGAGAGAGGGAACACAAGCAGGGGGAGGGAGAGTGGGAGAAGCAGGCTTCCCGCCGAGCAGGGAGCCCGATGCGGGGCTCGATCCCAGGACCCTGGGATCATGACCTGAGCCGAAGGCAGCCGCTTAACCGACTGAGCCACCCAGGCGCCCAGTTATCTTTTTTTAGGTATTACTTAATTTACTTTTTTTTTTTAAAGATTTTATTTATTTATTTGACAGAGAGAGAGACACAGCGAGAGAGGGAACACAAGCAGGGGGAGTGGGAGAGGGAGAAGCAGGCTTCCTGTCGAGCAGAGAGCCTGATGCAGGGCTCGATCCCATGACTTGAGCTGAAGGCAGATGCTTAACGACTGAGCCACCCAGGCGCCCCTTAATTTACTTCTTGTCATAACTTGGTATAGATACTGTTGTATGACAAAACAATGCGCAGATTGGTTAAATAAGCCCAAATTCATACAGGAGGTAATAGAGTCTGGGTTTGAACTCTGGCAGTTTGATTTTTTTTTTTTTAACTTTTTTCTTTTGAGATAATCATAGATTTATTTATAAGAAATTGCAAAGTACAGAGAGGTCCTGTGTACCTTTCACTCAGTATCCCTCAATGGTTACATCTTATAAAACTATAATATAAAAACCAGGAAATTGACATTGTGCAGTGTCCAGCATATTGTTACGTCTTTTATCGTATGTGTAGATTTGTGGTAACCGCTGCAATCGAGATACAGAACTATTCTATCACCATAAAGATCTCCCTGTTCTACCATACTATTTTAGTCACACCCACTCCTTCCCCCACTACCATCTGTAACCTTTGGCAACCTCTGATCTGTTTCCAGATCTATAATTTTGTCATTTCAAGAATGTTACGTAAATGGAGTCTTACCATATATGACCTTTTGAGATAGGCTTTTTTCAATCACATCCATCCAGTTGTGTGTAATTTCTTACAAATGGAATATAGTTGGGTGTCACTTTTTAAAATCCACTCGGCCAATCTTTTATTTAGTGAATTTGTAGAATTTACTTTTAATGTAATTACTGATGTGTTAAGCTTAAATCTGCCATTTTTTGGTTTGTTTTCTGTTCTCTTTTATTTTTTTCCTGTTTTCTTTTTCCTCTGGGTCTTTCTCTTTCTTTCTTTCTTTCTTTCTTTCTTTCTTTCTTTCTTTCTTTCTTTCTTTCTTTCTTTCTTTCTTTCTTTAAGATTTTATTTATTTGACAGAGAGAGAGACACAGCGAGAGAGGGAACACAAGCAGGGGGAGTGGGAGAGGGAGAAGCAGGCCTCCCGCTGAGCAGGGAGCCCGATGCGGGGCTCGATCCCAGGACCCTGGGATCATGACCTGAGCCGAAGGCAGACGCTTAATGACTGAGCCACCCAGGCGCCCCTCCTCTGGGTTTCTTGAACATATTTTTAGAATTCCATTTTGATTTATCTGTACTGTTTTTCTGTCTATAGTATATCTCTTTGTACAGTTTTTCTAGGTATGGTTTTTGGTGTTTTAGGTATTACACTGTACATGTATAACTTATTGTAGTCTACTGGTATTGCCATTTTACTGGTTAGAATAAAGTGTAGAAACCTTACCTTCTTTTAAATCCCTTTACCCTCCACCATTTGTAATATAATTGTCTTAAATATTTTCCCTGTGTACATTGAGAACCACATCAGTGTTACAATTTTTGCTTTAGCCATCTAACACAATTTAGGAAAATTAGAAAAGAAGGGAAGACTAAGTTCGTTGTATTTTTTTTTATTTTTTTATTTTTTACATCCTACTTCTTCAACTAGCCTTTGTATTTCAGGCAAAGCACAGAGATATATTTACCCATATTTTTGCTCTTTCCATATTCTTTTTTCCCTTCCTACTGTTTTAGGATTCCTTCTTTTATCACTGTCTTTATGTTTAGAGAATCTCCTTTTACCGTTCTTTTAGGGTAGGTCTATAAGTGACACATTCTTTTAGTTTTCCTTTATCTGAGAATGTCTTGATTTCTTTATTCTTGAAGGACGTTTTCAATGGATATAGAATTCTTCATTGACAGTTCTTCTTTTTCAGCACATGAAAAATATGTCACTTCCTTGTGGCCTTTATGGTTTTTTAATTCACTGTAATTGTTTTCCTTTGCAGGTAATGTGCTTTTTCTCCCTGGCTGCTTTCAGTAGTTTGTCTTTGGTATTCTATGTGTTTCAGTTTGACTCTGAGGTATCTTGGCATAGATTTCTTTAGGTTTATCCTGTTTGGTGTTTGATCAACTTCTTGAATCTGTATTTTATGTCTTTTGCCAAATTTGGGAAATTTTTGGCCATTATTTCTTCTAATACTTTATCAGCCCTGCCATCTTTCTCCTCTCCTCTTGAGATTTAGATGGCATTAATGTTAGATCTTCTGTTATAGTCCCACAGGTCCCTGAGGCTCTATTTGTTTGTTTTCCCCAGTCTGTTTTCTCTGTTCATGTTGGGTAATTTCTGTTGTTCTGTTTTTTAAGAATCACTGATTATTTCCTCTGTCCCTTCCATTCTGCTGTTGAGCCCATCTATCAAGTTTCTTATTTTGGTTCTAAGTGTCAAAATTTCCATTTGGTTCTTCATATCTTTTATATCTTTGATGACTTTCTATTTTTTTGCTGAAACTTTTTTTTCATTTATTTCAGATGTGTTTGTAAATGCTCAATGAATCTTTTTTTTTAAGATTTTATTTATTTGACAGAGAGAGAGGAATCACAAGTGAGCAGAGTGGCAGGCAAAGGGAGAGGGAGAAGCAGGCCTCCCACTGAGCAGGGAGCCCAATGCGGGACTCGATCCCAGGACCTGGGATCACGACCTGAGCCGAAGGCAGACGCTTAACCGACTGAGCCACCAGGCGCCCCTCACTGAATCATTTTTATGATGGCTGCTTTTACATCTTTGCCAGATAATTCCAACATCCATGTTATCTCAGTGTTGTCATCTGCTGACTGTTTCGTTTTTGTTTTTTCCATTTAAAGCTGAAGATTGGTGTTTTGGTATGATGAGTGGTTTCAGACATTTTGGGTATTAAGTTATGAGACTCTGGATCTTATTTAAGTGTTCTGTTTTAGCCAGACTCCTTGACACTCTGTGGGTGAATGGAGAGGAGTGCCTATGCATTCCTGTCAGGTACAGATAGAAATCCAGGTTCCTGACTCCACCTCTGCTGATAAGCCTGGGGGAAGAGTGAGAAGAATTCCTTATTATTGCTGAAT